CCCCACCCTTATCTGCTTTCCGGAGGGACCACTCTCTCCGTGACTCATTTGTCTGCTCCACACTCCCCTCCAGCCCCACCACACCCAGCACTTTTCCCTACAACCGCAGGAAGTGCTACACCTGACCCCACACCTCCTCCCTCACCCTCATCCCAGGCCCCAAGAAGACTTTCCACATCAAGCAGATGTTCACCTGTGCATCTGCTAATGTGGTATACTGCATCCGCTGTTCCTTTACATCGGGGAAACCAAGCGGAGGCTTGGGGACCGCTTTGCGGAACACCTACGCTTGGTTCGCAATAAACAACTGCACCTCCCAGTCACCAACCATTTCAACTCCCCCTCCCGTTCCTCAGACAACATGTCCATCCTGGGCCTCCTGCAGTGCCACAACGATGCCACCCGAAGGTTGCAGGAATAACAACTCGTATTCCGCTTGGGAACCCTGCAGCCCAATGGTATCAATTTGGATTTCACAAGCTTCAAAATCTCCCCTCCCGCTACCGCATCCCAAAACCAGCCCAGCTCATCCCTGCCTCCCTAACCTGTTCTTCCTCCCAGCTATCCCCTCCTCCCACCTCAAGCCGCACCCCCATTTCCTACCTACTAACCTCATCCCACCCCCTTGATCTGTCCGTCCTCCTGGACTGACCTATCTCCTCCTTACCTCCCCACCTACACTCACCTTTACTGACTCCATCCCCGCCTCTTTGACCTGTCTGTTTCCTCTCCACCTATCTTCTCCTCTATCCATCTTCTATCCGCCTCCCCCTCTCTCCCTATTTATTTCAGAACCCCCTTCCTCTCCCCCATTTCTGAAGAAGGGTCTAGGCCCGAAACGTCAGCCTTCCTGCTCCTCTGATGCTGCTTGGCCTGCTGTGTTCATCCAGCTCTGCACGTTGTTACTCCCCAAAATGATGTTTTTGAGCTCTGCAGTCTGGATGATAAGCTGGATGACATAGATTCGAGGGAAAGCTGGATAAATATGGTAAACTTTGACAAGGAAAGATGAAGTAAGATGAAAGGAAAATCCTATGGGGCACAAACATCCAGATGGCCCAGTCATTCTGAATAACATGATTGTAATTTTCAACATAAGGATGTTGTAAGTGCAGTGCTGTGTTTACTGTAATTGACTCACCCATGACTCTTTCACTGTTTAATTTTGGCATTCTACAGATTCGTCATGTTGTCAACCCAAAGCTTCATTTCTATCATAATTTTTAAAATGTCAGCTGTCTGTGTCAGTGTGGGAGACTGGATCGAGACTTTAAAAGCAGCTAAGAGAAAATTTAAGAAACAGACAAAGGATCTAACGAGTAATTGAGAGTCTGAAGAGCAGTCAATAACCTTGCACAAGAAATTCTGAGATGAACAAAATGATCATATAACATTGTCAAACTTGTATTGAAGTTCTGTAAGTGACTCTGAAACAAAGGCAACTGAACTTGTCAGGGCATTGCTGAGCTGATTAAAACATTTAATAAACTTGGAAAAGGCCTGGAATATTAGAGAGGAAACAAACATTTTGATGAAATTGTGCATTAAGTGATGTGCAACTCATTACTCTTAGGAGTGGTTTGAGGTGACTTTGTGGACGGATTCAAGGGAAAGTTGGATAACTAAGTAAATTCTGACAGGATGAAATGAAGTAAGATGGGTGGCGACTCCTCTGAGGCACAGACATCCAGATGGACCGGTTTGACTGAATAATAGGCTTCTGTGCTGCAAAGATGATGGAAGTACTTTGCTATGTTTTCTGTAGTTGGCTCACCATGTGATTCTGTCTCTGTTTACTCTGGTATTTGACAGAATGATCATCTTGTTGACTATAACTGTCATACTTTCGGAGCTATGATAAAAATGAAATGTCTGAAGTTGTTTTACAGATAGTTGTGAGAAAATCCTGACATTGAGCTTGGTTAAAGTGATGAGCTTTGAGGTTTTTTTTTAGAGAGCGGTTAATGGAGGCAGTGGCGTTTTGTCCCCCATTCAACACCAATTGTGTAGCCCATTAATGTGCTGAACCACTCCCTCATTCCCAGGTTCTGTTTTGCTCTTTTTCTGGTTTCCTGTACGTGGCCAACACCTGAAGCTGGTATCAACCCATCGCCTGATTGCCCTGAGATTCTGAGCCATCTTAAATCTCTGTAGTCATAGAGTAGAGTCATAGAGTTCAACAGCAAGGAAACAGACCCTTCGGTTCAACTCGTCCATGCCACTAGATATCCTAAATTAATCTAGTCCCATTTGCCAGCATTTGATCCATATCCCTCTAAGCCCTTCCTATTCAGATACCCATCCAGATGCCTTTTAAATACTGGAATTGTACCAGCCTCCATCACTTCCTCTGGCAGCTCATTCCACACATGCACCACCCTCTGCGTGAAAAAGGTACCCCTTACATCCCTTTTAAATCCTTCTCCTCTCACCTTAAACCTATACTTTTAGTTTTGGACACCTCCACCCTGAGAAAAAGACCTTAACTATTCACCCTATCTGCCCCTTATGATTTTATAAATCTCTGTAAGTCTCTTTTTATGGACTCCCAGGTTGTTCACCTAGTGTCAGTTAATGAGTTATGATTTATATTCTTGTTGGCCTAAATGTAGTTTTTTGAGTGCTGCTACTGAGCTGCAGTATTTAGAGGGTATTCCACTGCACAGTAAAACAGAAGAACTTTAAGCAGTTGGAATGGCCTTCCCAATGTGCATGGCCTCAAACAAAAGAACCATGTGAGTGAGGTGCAGCAAATGAAGATAACAGCCCATGTTGGAATTAGTGGCTCCATATTTGGCCTAGACTCTGTAGGAAATTTTGGAACAAAGTTCTCATGTTCAAAATTGGTGAAAATTCTATTATTTTTGTGAAAAATTCCATCTCTATAAATGTTTGTTTTCTGTACCTACATATGCATATAATGGTACAGTAATACAACCATTGAAACACTACCTATCTTATGGATTATTGTACAAATTTAAGGTTTGTTGGGGAAAATCCTTTCTGTAAATGTTGGAGAAAGGAAAAACTGTGAAAGGATGTCACAGTGGCTCAGTGGTTAGTGCTGCTGTCTCATGGCGCCAGGGACCCGGGTTCAATTCTACCCTCTGGTGACTGTCTGTGTGGAATTGGCACATTCTCCCTTTGTCTGTTTGGGTTTCCTCCAGGCATTTTGGTTTCCTCCCACAGTCCAAAGATGTGCAGTTTGAGTGGATTGATCATGCTAAATTGCCCATAGTGTACAAGGGATGTGCAGGCTAGATGCATTAGCCATGGGAAATGCAGAGTTACAGGAATGGGTTAGGGGCGTGTCTGGGTGAGTTGCTCTCGGAGAGTTGGTGTAGACTTGATGGGCTGAATGACCTGTTTCCACCCTGCAGGGATTCTATGATCTATGCCAGGGCAGGTAGGGGCAGAACAATGGGAATAACTGATGCCTGATTCAGGGGATTCAGCACGAGTAATAAACCTTCACTGTCAAAACAAATGTGCTTAATGATGTCTATCAGTGCCTGAACTATAACAGCTGAATAATGAAATAATGGTGTGTTGGTAAAGGAGACTATTGGGTTACACAAACTATACTACCCAGTTTAAATGTGGTTTGAATTGCTGTGATTCTAACTGTTAAATCTATTCCGTTTCAGAATTTTAACTGATCAGAATGGAAACTTATCAGACCCTGTCTTTCTGTAGCTGTGAAGTAAGTGTCAGAAAATGAAACAGATTAATTCTGAAATTTTGTGGATTGTATTTATACTGGCTTCCTGCTGTGCAGTTCAGGCAGCGGAGTTTGTGGATGTGGCCAACCATGCGATCAAACTGCACAGAGGGAGAGGAGCAACAATCACTAAAGGAACACTGTGGATCATGGACAATTGTAAGAAGTTGTCTGGCATGCTTCGCCAGAAGAATGTGGTACTGAACAAATTGAAGAAAGCAATTAAAGCTGTTGGAATGGATTCAAGACTGTCAATGGCAGAGAAGGTCTTTCAAGTCCATACGTTTGAGATCTTCCAGGCAGAGCTGAATGAGAGTGAGAAATCAGTGTTCCAGGCAGTCCACGGGCTTGAGAGAGTTCTTCAGGGTGATTATAAAGATATAGTGAACATGAGAGAAAGCAGCAAGCAACGTCTAGAAGCCTTGAGAGAAGCTGCTATTAAGGTCAGACTTTTTGCCTTGTTATATGTTGTAACTTATCATTTAAAAACTGTGACTTCTGCTTCCAACCTGATACTCATTGTGCATTGGTGGCTGGCTTGCTAGCTACTGTGTGAATGTTTAGAAAATCTTGATAAGAATGACTGTTAAAATGAATACATTTCTTCACCTGAAAAACAGCGCTTCTTCGATGTCTGAAGAAGTAATGCTGATGTATTCGCATTGGCCCAAGGTTTAGGTTGTAGGCTTAGCCTCCCCACTCCCTATGAGCTCCTTCTGCAGCCACTGTGATGTCCATGAGGTGGTGTGCCCAACCCCTGCCTGTCACATCATTGGGCTGTCTCTAGACCTTAATTGGCTTGCACAGTTTTGTGCCTCATTTACTATTGAGCAACAGTATAAAATGAAGAACTGTGGATGCTGAAGATCTGAAACAAAAACAGAAATTGCTGGCAAAATTCAGCAGGTCTATGGGAAGAAAGCAGAGTTAACGTTTAGAGTCCGGTGACTCTTCATCAGAACTGATTAACAACTGGTGTCTATGCGGAAGATGAGTTTGGGGGTCCTTCTGTCTCCCCTGGACCACGACCCCAACATTGTGCATCAGACTACTGTGCCCATGACTGTCACTGACCTCATCTCATCTGAGGATCTCCCCTGACAGACTCCTACTCTTAGCTGCCAATTCCACCTTCTCCCCAAAGTTCAAAAACAGGATTGCCTAGACAGACCCATTGTTTCTGCCTGTTCCTGGTCCAGGGACTGTGTTTCTTCCTACCTCAATTCGATTTTATTTTTTTCTTCCCTTGTCCAATACCTCCCCACACACATCTACAATTCTTCTGATGGTTTCAAAATCCCTAATTTGTGGGGAGCAGCTACCCACTCTTCACCATGGACGTGCAACCCCTTTACACGTCCATCCCCCATCAGGATTTTCTTGGTCCACTTCTTCCTGGAAAAAAGGCTTGAACTGTCACCATCCACCACCATCACCTTCTACCTCGCTTTGAACAACTTCTCCTTTTAAGTTGTGTTATTTTTTTTGGTACTGCTTCCTTCTCTTGCTCTGAACTGGGAAAACATATCAATTTAATTCCAATCTCCACCCTGCCCTCACTTTCACCCAGTACATCTTCAACTCCAACCCCCCCCTCACCCTTCTTCATGCTGTCTCTTCTCCACCACCCACATCCCCCCCCTCGCCATAATGAACTGTCTTCTCCCTCCACTGTCCTGCGTGCGATCTGTCTCCCCTCCCTCCCTCCCACTGTCACGTGTTCTTGCTCTCACTGTCCCTTGTTCTCGCTCTCTTCTCCCTCCCACTGTCATGCTCGCTCTCTGTCTGCCCCTGCAGCCCATGTGTTTGAAACATTTTGTAGGTAGTAAAGTGAATGGTCCAAGCCTTTTTGTTTTAATCGGGCAATGCTTTTTATTCTATTCGTGTAAAAACCAAAAAAATTTGCAAATACTGTGAATGGGAATCAAGGAAAGGAAAATATGGAAATACAGCAAAGCATCTATTAATTAGACTTGGATGTTTACACTTCAGGACTCCTTACAAATCTGTTGTATTCTGCTCACTGTCAGGACATTACTGTAAGTTCCAGCCAGTCTTGTGAGACTGAACCAATTTGGACTAGAGAGAGCATACATTGCACTGCGATCCCCGCACGGTATGCAGCTTCTGTAACTGTCCTCCCCTTGACACATTTTTGTTAAAGTGCAATATCCAAGACACAGTGAAAGCATCACTGCTGGTTGTGAGATACTACAAGCTTTGGCACAATGAGGGAAAGAGGACAATGTAAGCTATTTCTGATATTGCTGCTCCCTTTAATCTGCAGGAGGAAAAGGAGTATGTGGAGTTGTTGGCTGCAGAGAAACACCAAGCTGAGGCACTAAAAAATATGCAGCATGCAAACAGAAGCTTATCAATCCTTGATGAAATTCTTGAAGATGTGCGGAAGGCTGCTGATCGTTTGGAGGAGGAGATTGATGACCATGTGTTTGACAATAACAAATTGGTGAGTTTCTGGATAAGGACACACAGTTAGTAATTGGAGTCAGCGATCTGGTTTCTCAAGCCTGCCCAAAATTCATATCTTTTGCTTCAGCTGCCGTTGTCTGCACTACCCATCATCAGCTGTCCATCAGTTCAATGATAACATCTACCCAGGCCCACAGGTTTCTCCCATGCGTCTTCATGTGATTGAACAGGTCAATTCATGATCTCCAGGCCTTGGGGTTTTAAGACCGTAAGATATCAGAACAATTCAGCCCATTGAGTCTGCTCTGCCATTCGATCATGGCTGATATGTTTCTCAAACCCATTCTCCTGTCTTCTTCCTGTAATCCTTGATTGTCTTACCATTCAAGAACCTATCTCTGTCATAAATCCACTCAATGACTTGGCCTCCACAGCCCTCTGTGACAGTGAGTTCCACAGAGTCACCACCCCCTGGCAGAAGAAATTCCCCCTTACCTCAGTTCTAAAGTCCCTTCGCTCAGAGGCTGTGCCCCAGGGTCCTAGTCTCTCCTACTAATGGAAACATCATCTTCATGTGCACTCTATCCAGGCCTCCTGTATCTTTCAATCAGATCTCCCCACGTCCTTCTAAATTCTCAAGCACAGACCCAGAATCCTCAACCACTCCTCACACAACAAGCCTTTCATCCCAGGATCATTCTTGTAAAGATCTTTTGAACCCCCTCCAATGCAGCACATCTTTCCTGGACACGGGACCCAAAACTGCTCACTGTATTCCTATTGTGGTCATGGTCTCATGGTAGTGGTTCCGAAGTGCAGGATGTTTTTAACTCTTCTTTCCATGCAGATGTAGTTTACAGTCTTTCAAATCTGAGTTTTGTCTGAGTGTTTGAGGAGCTGGCTTTAATTAATGTTTTGAAGAAGGGTCACTGACCTTGACGCATTAACTCTGTTTTCTCCTCACAGATATTGGCAGACTTGCTGAGTCTTTCCAATAATTTCTGTTGTGTTTGTTCCAGATCTTCAGCATCCGCAGTTCTTTGTTTTATTTAACTAACATTTGTTTGACAGCCCTCCCATTGAATCTGGAGGATGTGATGTAGGCATTACTGATGGAATTTCTCTAATACTGTAACGCTCTGATGTGTGTCACTGGTACATAGTCCAAGTTTCATTGCAAGACAAGAGTGTGGTGACGACCATTGCTCTGCACACAAGACTTTTGCTGACTTGTGGAGATCTTTGTAATCAAGTTGTACTTTGTAGAAGGCAGAGTTGGCACAGTTGGCTCAATATTGGAGTTCTTTTGTCTGGCATTTTCAGGAAGAGGTGGCTGACTACATATGAAAAATGCTTCATGTATTCAAATGTCTCTCTTTCAACATGTAAAGGAAGCAGATTATAGCAACATTAGAGATTTTTGAGATCGGGTGGTTTGCAACCCTTCAGAGTGGGCAGTGAATGCCTTGAGCTCACCCCAAATCCCTTGATTCCCATCTAATCCAAAAACTTATTGACCTCTAACTTGAATTTACTAATTTAACATCTATTGTTCTCTGAAGTGGAGAATTCCAAAAGATGACCATCTTTTCGAGAACGAATTTTGCCACACATCTTATTCCCCAACAGCTGACCCCTCAAAAATTGTGATTTCTAGTTCCTGTATGTTTTTGAAAGATGTCAGAAAAGTCATCTCTGACTCTGCCAGCAGGTAAAAATTAGATTGATTACTTTTCTAACATGTTGGGTGAGATAGTGAGTTGCTCCTTTCCTTCAAAAAGAAACAAATGTAGTTGCAAGAGGCAAAGACACATGACATTGAATGCACTTTTTGGTTTCAGTGGAGGGTTAGATACACTGTACTGTCCAGAGAGTACAACTGGTTGTAAGCAAGCAGACAGTGCAAGGGAAATTTATTAAATCCAAGTTGGAGTCTTTGGGAAAGGCTAAGAACTTCAACTAAAAAAATTCAGTCAACACATTGAAGGGCACAAAAAATCAGCTTATTAGGTGCATTGAAATGTTAGTGAACATAACTTCCAATTTGTGTTTTGTTCACTTAGTGAGGCAGATATGGGGATTGGGGAGGAAATTGCACACTACAGGAAATTAGCTTATTTGAGCAGAATCATAGAATCCCTGCAGTATGGAAACAGGCCCTTCAGCCCAACAAGTCCACACTGACCCTCAGACATCCCACTCAGACCCATTCCCTCATAACCCACCTAATCTACACATCCCTGAATGCTATGGGCAAGTTAGCATGGCCAATCAACCTAGCCTGCGCATCTTTGGACTGTGGGAGGAAACCGGAATATCTGGAGGAAACCCATGCAGACACGGGAAGAATGTGCAAACTCCACACACACAGTCACCCTAGGGTGGAATTGAACCTGAGTCCCTGATGCTGTGGGGTAGCAGTGCTAACCTTTGCCAATGGGTGGTGGTGATAGTAAGTTGGGAAAATAGAAGTAAATTAACATTTTGACAGAAAATTGTTCTTAGGACATGCACACAGGTATATAGAGCATTTACTAGACACTGCTATCTAGGAGTGAGTATTTGGTTTAGTGATGGTATTCCTGCTTCTGGTTTGGAATGCGAAGGCGTTGAAACCCACTAAACAGCGCCCCAATGATGTATGGTGTTTAACCACCAAGGTAGTATAGATGACATCACCACTGACACATTGGAGCAGTGTCAGTATTCCTACTGAGGTCAGGAGGATTAGCCTCCTTGTGAAGGAGACCTGCGTGTCTGATAATTGGGGTTGACATTCAATGGGACACTCTCTAGCCTTAAAACTGTGGGTAGCTCTGCCACTACTGCGTGAGATAGAGTTCTTTAACATTCGTTGCAGCTTAATTAGGCAGAGGCACTCTCAGAATCAAAAGTAAATTATCTCAGCTACTTCTGTCTAGTCAGTGACTGAAATCTCAAGTCTTGAATTGGACTTGCCTTAGACAGAACGCTCAGGTACAGGAAATGTCGCAGGTTTAGTGTGTGTATCGTACACTAATTGAAGGGCAACTTTCTGAATTGATGATGTTCCTCATTCTTCAGTCTGTACTGGATGATGAGAGCAGGCCTTGTTAACTTGCATTTATGATTGGTGACTGCCACCACTGCTACAAGTTCCTCTCCAAGCCTCTCACCATCCTGAATTGGAAATATATTGCTGTTCCTTCAGTATTGCTGGGTCAAAATGCTGGAACTTCCTTACTAACAGCACAGTGGGTGTACCTTCACCAAATAGAAGGCAGCTCACCACTACCTTCTCAAAGGTAATTAGGGATAGGCAGTAGATGCTAGCCCAGCCAGTGTCACCCACATCCTGATATGAATTATTTAAAAAGTAGGATTGATGAGTATTTCTTGTCTTCAATGTAAAAGTAAGGTCCTTGGTTTGTGTTTAGGTCTCTAGTGTTTGTTTCTCTATTTCCTAAAGATGTCTTGTTAGGTATAAAGTGTAAAACCAAATTGCACTAAAGGGTAAAGAGCAGAAATTCACAATGAATAATTTTGTGCATGAATCACAACAGAAAATGTGTCCGAGTTTAGTGGGTAAAGGGGAAGGCAAATTTTACTTCTGGCCTTTATTGCAAAGGAAATGGAGTATAAAAATACAAGAGCCTTGCTAGAACTATACAAGGTACTAGATAGATCACAGCTGGAATACCATATACAGATTTGGTCCCAGATCTAAGGAAAGATGTACTGGTATTGGAGGGAATCCAGAGAAGCTTTACTAGATTGAATTTAGATATAGATGGATTTTCTTATGGGAAGAGATTGAGTGGGGTGGGCCTGTATTCATTGGAGTTTAGAAGAATGAGGGAGACCTTATTGAAACATAAGATTCTCAGGGAATTTGACAGTGTAGTTGTTGAGAGGTTGTTTCCCCTTGTGAGAGAATCTAGGACCTGAAGACATAATTACAGAGTAAGGAGTTGCCCATTTAAGACAGATGAGGAGGAACACCTTCTCTGAGGATAGTGAAACTGTGTAAGTCTTTATCACAGAAGGCTGTGTAGAGGCTGGATTGTTAAGAAAATTGGAAGCTGAGATAGATTTCTAATCAGTAGGGAAATCGGGTCTTGGGGAAAACACGGGAAAGTGGAGTTGAGGATTATCAGATCCGCCATGACTACATTTCATGTCAGAGCACACTCAGTGGGCCAAATGGTCTATGTCTATGGTGTTATGCTCCCTATGTGAATGAAAACCTTACTGTCAAGTTTTCAAAGTTTCACAATGCTTACATAATTTTCAACTCATAATTTTCCAATCAGACAAGAATTTCTAATTTACACAGCGTTCTGATTTAAAATTACATTTGGAGAGACAAGTTCTTAACTACTATCCTATTTCACTGCGGTCCCAATATTCTTGGACTTAGTTGATGGAATACCTCACGGTTGAAAGTTGCAGTTAGTGACAAATGGGATCTGTTTTGTTCACAAACAGTAAAGCAATTAATAAATCATAGAGTTATAACGTCTTAGTTCTATTACTGGAGTTTATCTGAACTGCCGTATCGATTTTGACGCTGAATAGTTTTTTTAATTGGTCTGTGTTGAATGGTGTATTTTGTGTGATCCAAGCGCTGCAATTATCATCAATTGGTCTACCATAAAGTTTGGAACTACAACATTGTATTTTTCAGGTCCGTGGTGGAAACATTGAAGCTGTTATCAGAGTTGAAGAGGACGAGGAAGACAATAAGCAAAACCTTTCCATGCACGAAGTAGAGGCTGGTTTGGGGCTGAGTATGCTCATTGACTCTCAGAACAACCAGTACATCCTGACCAAACCCAGGGACTCAACAATCCCTCGAGCTGATATTCATTTTATAAAGGTAATTGAGGCCTGTGTTTTATTATTGTAACCAGGGACCTTTATATTCACTTTTAATCGACTTAAAATGTCAGATCTTTTCAGGTTTGACTTTCAAAAGCAATTGATTTGCTAAACAGTTTTTCTTGGTGATTGTAAGGTGGATTGGAAAGCACCAAGTCTTTATGGTAGAGTTTACTTGTTTACAGCTTGAGGATAGAACTATATTGAGCCCCAGGGCAATTGCTTTGCCGAGATAATCTTGAGCTCTGTTCAGTTCCAATTTTCAGTGCTGAGTAGGTTCTAGCATTCTGTGTTCTCTGTTCAGATAACTAATGTCTGCTATAAGGCCTGTAAGTTATTCATTTCTGAGGAAGAGTTACTGGATTTGAAACGTTAACTCTGATTTCTGTCCACAGATGCTGCCAGACCTGCTGAGCTTTTCCAGCAATTTGATTTTGCTTCTGATTTACAGCATCGGTTGTTCTTCCATTTTGTGTTTTTTAAACTAAGTTATCCATTTCTTTATAAACTTAAACACTTTCTGAATATTAAAGAACCAGAAGTAAACTGAAATAATTCATGCCCATTCCATCTTTTGTATCAGTTTTTGTGTGTTAGCCTCAATACCAATGCGTTGGAGGTCATCATTCAGACTGCCATATGAAACCATCCACGTTTCTTTAGTGAATGTTGTTCTTTACAATGGAGACTCCAAAGATCTGTCCAGGAAATTTTGATAAACACAGCAGGTCATTAAAAGCAAAATCCTAATTTGTGGGTGGTAACAAAAATTAGGGAAGTAATTATTAAGGACCAATGAAATCATTTACAAGATCGTTTGTTTGTCAACAGAAATATTTGAAATATCATAGTAAGTGTAAATGTCTAATTCATAATGTTCATCATCAAACATGCCATTTCAAGGCCATTACATTTGAACAAAGAACAATACAGGAGAGGAACAGGCCCTTCGGCCCTCCAAGTCTGCGCCAACACATTTTATCTGTCCATATTAAAACTGTCTTCACTTACAGTATCTGTATCCTTCTACTCTCGTCCTATTCATGTATTCATTTATTTGGAAACAAACAATCAACTATTGGATGATACAATTCTACTGTGTATTGTTTGGGAAAAGATTGAGGGAGGGCAGTGTTTATTAAGGAAAAGAATTTGAAACCAACAATTAAATGCATGGAAACGACTTAAAGTTGAAATCCAAATCTTCTGCTCTGTCACCGGTTTAGTCTCTGTCTTCAGGTACCAGTCCCAATACTAGAGTGAATGGTGCTCGGCATTCAAAATTCCATCCATGCAGTAACATTGTGAAGGTTAGATCAGGTTTATTCTTAATGGAGGTGATCTATGAAGTTTGAAAAGTTGCAGTAAAATTGATCAAGATATACCCTGAACTTCAGGATATATTTTAAGAAGTGCTGCTGATTTGAATTGATGATTGTAATTGTAGTCCCTATACATTTGCACCTTGATGTATGATGTAGAGGTGCACAGCTGATTGTTAATGATACTTTTATTTTTATTTTTGATGCGAACAATGCAGGCAAACCTGCATTTATTGCCCATTTTCTGTTGTTTTGCTAAAGTGGTGGGCCTTCCCTTTAAAATCTGCCTGTCCCTCTTATCTGGCAGTCTCTTGGGATTGAGCATGTCTTGCTTCCACTCTGGTTCAGTGGGTTCTGAGGTGGCTGATATATTCAGTGCTTGATCCTCAGTCTCTGCTACATACAAGGCAGGTAGTGCTTGAAGGAATGAGTTCATGAGTTCCAATGTCTTGACTTCAGCTTTGCACGTTCCGGTTAAGTCTTTCAGTCTCTTTTCGTGCTTTCCGAAATGTACATTCTCCATTTTGGTCAGTCACAAACCAGGTCCCCCACGAGCCGATGGGTACTCTGACCTCTTTTTGGGTACTTTGAGGAGTTTTCTGCCCCAACTGAGTTCCAACTAAAGCAGTTGTGTCATTAAGAGCATTGTATCAGGCATACATGCAACATATCCTGCTCAGCTGCTGCTTTGTCTTGGGAGGGGATGTTGGTATTGAAGAGCCTTTTCTGCCACAAGATTTGGAAGATCTTGCAAATGCAGCACTGAGGTGTAATGCTTTGAAGTGCTTCCTTTAGTCTCCAAAGAAGACAAGAATGTAGGGGTATCTGTTACCTGGTAAACCATAATGATAATCTTGGGCATATGGAGATGACAAAATTCATGACCACCTCCAATGTGCTAGCTCAGCCTTTGGTTGTCTGTGGCAAAACAGAATATGAGGACTCAGATCTCAAAGCCCATCGGTCTACTAGATTGAATGTGCTGTGTTATCCATTTCTTTCTGAAAATGTTGATAATATCCCACAGGACATCATTGTTTGCAGTGGGTTAATTAGCCCTAGTTTCAGTTATCTCTGTTTTCTCGGTATCAATTTCACAACTATCACGGACAAAACTCTGCTTGGCTCCATTCCAACTTCAGAGCACGTTTATAAACTCTTCTAGCCAAAAGACTCTGAGAAAACTTCTCAAAGTTTCTGGCTTTTACTTCATTGGCTCAGAACTGAGCCCTTCAAGTAACTTTCAGACATTTTCATCTCATCTCAAATAGTATCTCGTGCATGTTTATGATTCATATTGTTGCAAGAAAAGCTTCAATTTTTGCATGAATACAGTTGAGCAGAAGAGACTAAAGTCCACACTTTGGGGAAGTTTACTGTCAACGGGGGGCTTCTGCTAAGGAATTGATTAATGTTCTGTGTATTCCCTGCCTTCGAAATGACTCAAATGCAAGTTTCCACTGTAATCAGTCTTTTCGTATGCATCAACCAAAGATGGGTGTCCGCAATCTTTCTACCCCAAACTTAGTGCTCTGGAGCCAATTTTCTCCCATTTATTCAATATTTCCTGTTCTTATAGATTGTGCTGGTTTTCAAATTAGGTTTGAAGGATGTCCAACCAATTTCAGAGACCTTCCTCTGTTAAAAATGAATTAATACTTTCATGAGCCGGAACAACAACCTTAAATGTATGCTTGAGGTGAATACACAAATTAAAAATTGCTTAAAATTCGACAAAATTGAGTTCATACTTTGATTTTTAAACATATTTAAATTTTCAATTTATTTGCAGGATATAGTTTCCATTGTGGTGATATCTCTGCCTTGTGGCTGGATTTGTACCTTAATGGGACTTCCTACAATGTTTGGTTATATTGTTTGTGGGGTTCTCTTGGGTCCCTCAGGACTAAACCGCATCAAGGTATGAATTCTACTTTTGTAAACGGGCACTGTATTCAGCTGAACTTTTTTATTGGGCGAGCAGTTCATTAACTCACTAAATCTTACACTGTAGGAGAGTGGTGCAATTTAATCAGTAAGATGTACAACTGTTCGTTTTATAGTGTGAAGAACGTGCAAGTTGTTGTAAAAGAAGCAACAGTGCAATTGGTGTGTTATTGTGTCAGCCCCGGTTGGATAATTTAAATTTTGCTGTACTGGTACAGGGTGCTGGTGATGAGGTTTGCCACCATGTTTGCTCCATCTCCTTTTACATGGCACAAAATACATTTGTATTAGTGGATATTTCACAGTTCTGACTTTAGAATCAGATACAATCCCGATATGAGCTTCTGATCACACATCCATTCTGTCAACTGAAACTACCTATTTCCACCTTTTGTAATACTGCTCACCTCTGCCCTCCTCAACCTGCCTGCCTCAATTTTAAAATTCTCTTCCTCGTTATCAAAAATCTGGTCTTATCCTCTCTCTCTATCTCTGTAATTACTTTCAGTCCTGTCTCTATCTGTGCTAATCTAATTCTAGCCATTTGTCAACCCAATTTTAATTGTCCCACCATTGGTGGCTATGCCTCCAGGAGCACTGGTCCCAAGCTCTGGAGTTCTCCATCTACGTCTTTCTGTGTCTTTCTCTCTTTCCTCTTTAAAATGCTCCTTTAAAACTTGTCCCTTTTGCCATGTTTATGTTCATTTTTCCTAGTATCTCGTGTGGCTCGATGTTAAGTTCTGTTTGATAATGCTCTGTGAATACTGGCCATTTTGACTAGGTTAATGATGTGTATTTTCAAGTTATTGTTTATGCCTTGTTGTTTTGCATTGAGAGGTTTCATTTATCGAAATTAGGAGTTCCTCTTCTTGCTGCTGTTCTTTGTTTCTGACCGAGGAAATTAAAAAAAAAAGTGTGCTGCCTAGAACCACCTTGTGCTCCAGACAATGAGCCAAGCCCTTCCCTGCTCATCTGCAGCCTTGGGCTATGAATAGTATTGTAAAGGTTACACCTTCATTATTGTGCTGGGCTGTTTGATATAGTCCTTTAAATAAGATTTACACCAATGGCTATGCAAATGTGTTAATCCATCATGGTCAATTAGCTCTGAAAACCTGTGCAAAGGGACTTGGGTGTCCTTGTGCATAAATCGCTGAAGGTGGGATTGCAGGTGCAGCAGGTGATTAAAAAGACAAATGGAATTCTGTCTGCCATTGCTCGAGGGATGGAGTTTAAAAACAGGGAGGCTATGCTTCGGCTGTATAGGGTCCTGGTGAGGCCACACCTGGAGTACTGTGTGCAGTTTTGGTCTCCTTACTTGAGAAGGGATAGCACTGGAGGGGGTGCAGAGGAGATTCACTCGGTTGATTCCAGAGTTGAGAGGGTTGGATTATGAGGAGAGACTGAGTAGGCTGGGATTATACTCACTGGAATTCAGAAGAATGAGGGGAGATCTTATAGAAACATATAAGATTATGAAGGGAATAGATGAAGTGGAGGCAGGGAGGTTGTTTCCACTAGCAGGTGAAACTAGGACTAGAGGGCACCGCCTCAAAATAAAGGGAAGCAGATGTAGGACTGAGGTCAGGAGGAACTTCTTCAGCCAAAGGGTTGTGAATCTGTGGAATTCCCTGCCCAGTGAAGCAGTTGAAGCAACCTCACTGAATGTTTTTAAGGCAAGGCTAGATAAATTTTTGAACAATAAAGGAATTAAGGGTTATGGTGGGTGGGCGGGTAAGTGGAGCTGAGTCTCAAAGATCAGCCATGATCTTATTAAATGGCGGGGCAGGCTCGAGGCACCAGATGGCCTACTCCTGCTCCTAGTTCTTATGTTCTTAACCTTGGGAAGGATCCAACTCACTTTACCAATGCAGCATAACATGCATTATAGACATTGGGGAATAAGTGCATTGTTTAAATTGTGATTCATAAGCATTTTAAAAGGAAAAATGTGGGGAAAAGTTAGGCAAATGTGCCGATAGTGAAAACCTCCAATTGAAGGGCTATCACTAGCATAGCTGTGACGTGCCAAAATTACACCTTTCGGTGTGGAGTAATTTATGCAGCTTGTGCTATTACTATGTTCTGCGTAGTTCTATCTATCAGGCAGGATGAACAGACTGAGGCTTCTTGCAGCACTGACAATAGTGTTGTTAGTAAAGCATTCCAAGGTGCTTCACAAGAGCATTATAAAGCAAAATATACTGTGAGTCACAGACAAGCGGGAGCAGTGAATTGAAATATATTTACAGCCATCCTCTCCGGTCCATAACAGAGGTGATTTTATGTTTTTATTTATCTTTTCCCTTTTTAAAAATAAATGGAAACAAAGATAAATTTTAAAAACAAGCTGTTATTTCAGATGGAGCTGATGTTGGTCAGTGAGTGCAGGCATTTTAGGTGAATAGGATTTGGTGGGCTTTAAGACATGGCAACAAAGATTTGATGGGGGCCTGATGTTTACAGAAGATAGAGCGGGGAGGCTAAGCAGGGGAGCTTTGGAATTTACTCATCCGGTAAATGAGGAAAGAATGAAGGTTTCAGCAACAGATGAGCTGAGACAGATGAAGTTAGCTGATGTTACTGAGGTAAAAATAGTCACTCATAGCATTAGTGAAAATTGTGGCTAAAGCTCATCAAATATGACTGTGTTGCAAACAGATGGTCGAATCTCACCTTAGATGTGAAAACTGATGCTGTGTTTTCAGATGATGTGTGCCAGGGCAGGATGTGGATGAAAAACAGGATTAGATAGATAAGAATGGAGGCAGGTGAGACTAGTTCCACCCAGCTAACCGACAATGGAGAGGAGTTGGAGGAGGACAGTTTGGTCACTGTATAGAAGACTGCAGTCAAATCGGGGAGGGAAAGTTTACTACAATCACAGTCTCTCAGGATGTCATTTGTAACTTTGATAAAAACTGTTTCAGTATTTGGAAAAGAGAAGACTGAAGGCTGGCCTGTTAGAGATTTTCAACTTTATGAAAGAGTTTGATGGACTATTGTAAATGAACATTTGTGGATGTGATGAAAATTAGGAACAAAATATAAAACAGTCACTAATAAATTCAATATAGCATTCCAGACAGCAGAACATCTTTACCCAGTCAGTTGGTTGAATTTGGAACTTGTACCACATAAAATGGTTAAGTTGGAGACCATAGATGCATCGAAAGGGAAAGTACATATATACTAGATGGGCAATAAAATTATACAAAGAAAGCTTCAAGGGATAAACTTTGGTGGAGATCTTCTGACTAAATAGCATTTACCTGTGTTGTAATATTTGTTGTAATGTTGTAATATTTCTTAAGTGCTCTGATTTCAAAGGATGGTCATGTTGCAATATTTTCTCCACAGTCCATTGTGCAAGTGGAAACACTTGGCGAGTTTGGTGTGTTCTTCACCCTGTTTGTTGTTGGCCTGGAATTTTCTCCTGATCGGCTCAGAAAGGTATGACTGTTCACCCCTTTTCAGAGATTAAGACCATTTGACATAGCAGAAGTAGGCCACTCAGCCCGTCAAGTCTGCCATTCAGTGAGAACATGGCTGATCTAAAAACCTTCAAATTAAACTCTATTAATCTGTTGGCCTTTGCCGTTCTAATTAATGTCGGTTTCCAGCATCATTCTCCAATCTCAGGGGCTGTTCCCAGTGTTTACTCAATTTTGAAGCCACTCTTTAGACTCAATTGTCTTCCTTCTGGAACCCACATATCTGATCTTCCTGCTCAATGTGAACCTTTGATCTTCCTTACTCCCTGACTAGCTGCCAGCTGCAACTGACCATCTTGTCTAGAGAGACTTCTCCCAATGGCATTGAGCCGTACCTTGTACCTGAGATTTTATTGTTTAGTTTATGAAAAACCTCAGTCATATTGTTTCCTTGGGTCTCTTTCTAGTTCTGACTTCACTGCTCACACATCAATGCTGCTACTTAGCCTGACCTAAGCATTTTACCTCTGTATCCATCTATTTTCTCACTTCACCTTGCTCTTCTTTGCTTTTTTGTACCCTTGTAACTGTTCTATGATCATTCATGATCCAGTCCTAATATGTGCAATCTCCTGCCTCAGATACCTTTCTTATTGAACTGTTCACAACCCTTTCTAATTCAGATTTGCCATCCTACTTTGCATCAGTTATGGCACAAACTGCCAGCTCTTTTCCAGTAGTTAATCAATGCCATATTTCCATGTTATGTGCTCAATTCTCCATTTGTGACAAATCTAAACTCCGTTACCTCCCCTGGCCTGTCACATGAAGAGTGATAATAGTCATCTGTGCAGTCTCAAATTTACTGTTTGATCAGTATGACTTAACCCACCCTATTATTAACCAAAGTTGTTTCTACTTATAAAGAATGTAAAAAGCACTGAATTTCTCCCTTTGCATGAACTACCAAAGCTAGTGATTGGGTTAGATAGATGGTTGAAGGAAACAGTGATATAGGACTCTAAAACTGGAGTGGGCACATTGGGTGGGACATTCATTGGATAAATACTAACTTGGACTGCTTTGCTAAATGGCCTGTACCCATGTTCTACTTTGCTTCAGCCAGTGTTTGATGCGTTTTTCCTACCTCCTTCAGAACTGTGGTATCTCCAGATTAAACTGCACAGATAACAAAGTGTGGAGCTGGATGAACACAGCAGGCCAGGCAGCGTCCCACCTACCCGCCCCTCCCTCCCTCCCTCCCTCCCTCACTGACCAACCCCCATCCCAACTCCCTACCTGTACTGGCTTCATCCCCGCCTCCTTGACCTGTCCGTCTTCTCTCCACCTATCTGCTCCTCTATCCACCTTCTATCATTGCCTCCTCCTCTCTCTACTTATTTCAGAACCCCCTTCCCTTCCCCCATTTCTGAAGAAGGGTCCAGACCCAAAACGTCAGCTTTCCTGCTCCTCTGATGCTGCCTGGCCTGCTGTGTTCATCCAGCTCCTCACCTTGTTATCTCAGACTCCAGCATCGGCAGTTCCTACTATTTCAAACTGCACAGATAGTTTCCTTTCCTGTCCTCTCAGCCTTCATCCTCATAAGTGTAAACCTGTTCAAATGTCTGCTGCAGATACCTGTCCCCCACTGAGTCCTGTTCACACATTCGTTGCTTTTCTTGCTGACCCGCTTTGGCCTCTAATCCCAACAGCAACAATTAGCATTAGGAGCTGAATTGGAAGAACTGCTGACTTTCCCTTGTGCCTGGCAAGGCCTCAGGGGTATTGGGAATTCCAGCCATTCGCCATAGTGAGTCACCTCCCTCCCCTAGCCGAATGATTGCCTCTGCACCGTCTGCTTGACTTGCCTTGACAAAGCCACCAAGAAGCTTGGACACTTCCTGCGTACGTGCTAGTGAAACTTGCTCTGTTTCTGTTGACCAAAAGCTGATGGGATAAAAACATCTTTTTACTTTGAAATCACCATTGGCCACCCGTTACATAGTCACAGCAATCTCTGTGTTAATGTACAATGGATTGGATATCGCCCAGAGGATTTTCCTGGTATAGTGACAGTCCTCTTTCTGATCCCATTTAAAGGAAATCCTCATTTTAAACAATGTTTACGAGCACTTCTGCTACGTTTATCAGATTTATGCAGAAAAACGGCAAGAAAAAACACAAGACATCGGGTGCTTTTTAAGCAAATGGTGGAAGGCTGCTGTCATGTTGGAAGATCACAGTGAATGGAAAGCTACCCAAAACTTAATCACTTGTTGGGTGAACTGTTTCCTATTTCTTAGAAATAGCCCCAAAAGATTAGACCATAACAGGCAGCAACCACCTTTCGACAAGCTTTGTTTTTTTTCTGTTCATGGTCCTGAGAAACAAGCTTTTTGACTTGCGTCGTTAGTTGATTCTATAACTTTGCCTACTTTGCTTTTGAATGTTCTCTTCTTCCTGTTAAATCTCAAATAGCAACTGTTATTGAATTTATTAATATTTTACTGAAAATTTGTTTTGTCAACATTTTTAACTCTTTAAAGCTGGTGTATGACCAAGCATAAAATATTTCTTCTGCCTGCATGGCTCTTCCAACAGCCTTTTCTTTTTGCAAGCTTGACTGGGCTCAAGAAAACTTCCTCAGGAATAAACGAACACTCTGGAATCTAGCATGAAGTTTCTCCTCATTCTAATTGCTGCTTTATTGATACAGCTGTAGTCAGTGACTCTCTGAACCTTCCTGTCGTTATTCCATTTGGGTAACAGGTGATATCTTTTCCCTTTGCAAGTCTTCAATTCAGTCATGAGCACGTAGGGAAGAGCATCAATCCTGTGGAACTTTTCTTTCGTTGATTCCTTCATTCTATGCTATCCAGGCTCCTGATACCTAAGCTGGACATCATCTCAGCACACTTTCTTCTGCCCACCCAAACAAAAACACTTATTGAAGCTTTGAATTGGCTATGAGTTGGTTATGTCTGTACCGGCATCGATGGTCCTTTGATGCTTTAGATTGTCTTCTCCTGATCAGGGAAGATCTGTGCCTTGTATAGCTGTCGTTTTGAATCACAGTCTTTAACACATTTCTGAATTAGTCGTACCTAGGAGAGGAACATGGTAACATTAATGACAGTATTTTTATTCTGGTATTAAAGTACATTGTTTTCTCTGTCCTTAGGTCTGGAAGATTTCTTTGCAAGGTACCAGTTATATGACAATTCTGATGGTCATATTTGGACTACTGTGGGGACATCTGCTGAATATCAGGCCAACGCAAAGTATTTTTATTTCCACATGTTTATCTCTATCAAGCACCCCACTGGTATCCAGATTCCTTGCACTTAGTGCTAGAGGAGACAAAGAAGGTATGTCTTTAAGGAAGCAGTTTGTCCAATATGCAATTGTCTTGTATTTGTGAATATGATGTTGAATTGCCCTTGAGGTTGGAGAGAGGAAGAAGCTGGTTGGGAGCTGCCTGAAGGTTGATAGTAGACATGGCTTGGTATCTGGCCTGTCTGTTTCCAATGTTCCTCAGATGATGGAAGGTGTTGAGAGGGTGTGTTAGTGGCATTAACGGCCCCAAATGGAATAGCAGACAGGGCAGGCTGTTTCTCCTTCCACTCTTGTCCAACACATTTACTTTTTGCTGGTATTAGATCTCATATTTTCAATGAGAGTTCGAGTCACAGGGTGGATTCAGGTGACCTTTATTACAATTTACACCTCAGTTGCAACACACAGCAAAAAGGCACACAAAAAGCTTTGAAATGTTTTAACTTATACAGTTTAAACTTAGAGCGCACAAACCCTCCTTTGATTACTGTTGGTCAGTGGTTATCCACTTGTAATTGGCTCATGGGTACGGCATCTTACACAGTTCAAGCTTGCTAATTACTGAGATGGACAGGCTTGTAGTCCACTCCTGGTCCTTCATGATGTTTTCCCAGACTTACTTTCTTTCTCCTTGAGGCTTTTCACAATGGATACTGTATTCAAGTAACATATGCTGGCTGCACCATGTTAATTGCCAATTATTTGGATACTTGTCTATCACTTTAGGAACTTCTAAATTTCTTATAGGGAATACACAAGAATATTCACTTTTGATCAGTCCCAGTAAAGTTATGTGTTTACACCTAATGTTAGAATTCTTTAGCTAACAAGTTGTGTCTTAATGTGTTCATTCAATCCACATTCTAATGTCCACTAATCTCTGTATTCATTCTTCCCTGTAGTGATAAGGGGGCTGCTTTTGCTGTCTGAAATTGGTTTAAATCTTTTCATCTAATGCTTTTAGTGATTTTTTTTTTTGTATATATGTGGATCCATAACTAATTTGGAATTTATGTCTATGGTTCTTGAAAAATCTCAACTAAAACCTACTGTTATTGTTATAACAGATTGATTAAATAATTCAAGAGAAACAATTAATTAGTGAAATGTTCTTATCAACGTAAGCAATTGTAGCTGCACATTCTGTCTCATTTAAGTAACCTTGATTATGCAGAGTTACTATTGTTCTTCTTGCAGAGACTCTATTAAGCAAATATTTTCCCACATGCTGTAAGTACTGTCAGCTATGTCCTGTATTAGCCATGGGCAGCCATCAGCCTTTTTGAGCTGCTCCATCATGGACAGCCCTAACAGCTGGAGAGGGTTCAGAAGAGATTTACCAGGATGTTGCCAGGTGTGGAAAGTTTGGGTTATAAAGATAGGCTGGGACTTTTTTCACTGGAGAGTAGGAGGTTGAGAGGTGACCTTATAGAAGTTTATAAAATCATGAGGCGAATAGATAGTTAATGGTAGGTGTTTTTTCAGGAGTATGTTGAGTCCAAGATTACTTTCTTCTACTCTGGAGTTGAACCTGAGGTGAATAAATAGTTCAATGCTGGTTTCACGATGAGAGGACACATATTTAAGCTGAGAGGAGAGAGATTTAAAGACATGAGTGGCAATTTATTTTACACAGAGGATGATTGGTGTGTGGAATGAACTTGCTGAGGAGGTGGTGGATGTGGGCACAATTACAACATTTAAAAGCCATTTGGATAAGTACATGAATAGAAAAGGTTTGAAGGGATATGGGCCAGGAGCATGCAGGTGGGCAAGTTTAGTTTGGGATTATGTTCGGCATGGACTAGTTGGACCGAAGGATCTGTTTCTGTTCTGTATGACTCTGTGGTCTGTGGGGACTCTTCTTGCTGTTCATAGATTCTTGGTACCTCTTTAAATGTTACAGCATGCCTCATGTTTCCCTGTGGCATCAGCATACTCCCTGCTAGTGGCAGGAATCTATGTAGAGCATGCTATGCATGGATAATGCCTCTACACCTACGGCACTGGTGAGGATGCCAGAGTGGCAGGTACCAGTGTGAACCGTGACCCCTGGCTGTTCGCCTTCCCCTTCAGAATGCCCTACAATATTCAGTGACATCATTGACTTTGTCCCCAGGGAGGTGACACACCATCTTTGCGTTGCACCCCTGGCTACAGAAAGACGCGTCTGTGCCCCTCATTATTGAATCTTGCACTAGCACCCTGTCTGTCTGCTCAACCCCTTGTGCAGCTGGGATCTGACTGTACTCTCTGGAGGAACCATCACTCTCTGTTTTCCAAAACACACAATCTGCCCTTGAGTGAGGCACACTATTGGACTTCCCTGACTACATGCCTACCTTCTGACTGATAGTCACCCATTCCTTCACTGACTGCACTCCCTTAAGCTGCGGGGTGCCCATGTGTAAAGATATACTAAATGCACAATTCTCCGTCCTGAGTGATTCTGAAACCTGGTGGTCAAGCTGATCAAATGGTGGCACTTCCTACAGAGGTAGTCACTCAGATTACCAGGTACTTTTAAGACTTCATATGTACAGGCCATGCAACACATGAGAATGAGCTGCCTGCAATACCTTTTGTTCAAAAAGTTTTTGCCAAAATTTAAATTTAAGCCAAGTAGAATATTAATTGTTCTCTGTCACAACTCTAACCTGTCCTTAATGCAGCTTTAAAGTGGACAAAAACAACTTAAACCTTATCCACAATAAGTTCACAGCTTTGCACTGATGTATATTTTGTCAACCTTTTTGAATTCTGGTGGGAATTCCTTTTGGGGTTTAGCTGCTGCTCCAAGTAAGCTCACTTTGGGTCTTGCCCCCTCAGGATTTTATAAGGAAGTTCTGCTGCCAACTTTCAGCCCCAGATTTGTTATGTTCCACTGCCACTCCAACTTACTCCAGAGTCAGAGTAGACTATTGTCTTGAAAGTTCTTAGCCTTATTTTGTCCCAAGTCTCATTCAGGTCCACTCTCGCCGTCCACAGTGCTGTTGACTTGCTGTGCACTCCTCCCAGTCTGCTTCACAATGATGCTGACTTTTTATTAAAAAGTGAAACCAAGAGGCATGAGTGCTAATGTCATCAATTTACATTGTCAAGGACTGTGATTCCAGGCAGCCAATAATTGCCACAAGTGCTCTCATTGTGCATTACAATTTTCTTCTTACTAATTAGGCAGTCCGTTGAGTCCAAGATTACGTTCTTCTACTCTGGAGTTGAACCCTGAGGTGAATAAATAGTTCAATGCTGGATCCATGCGTCCTGCCATAAGTGGAGCAGTGGGTGTTTGAAGTAGCAGGTGGGCAGGATGCTTGGGTTTTGGCTTCTACCACTGTTTGCACTTTGCCTCCACCTCAGTGGATGATGCTTCTCCAGTCTGGGTAGGATTGGGCAAGAGATTCCTGTGAGTCAGGGAGTTATTGCATTTTTGTTTTGCGTGGAGACTCGAAGCATTTTCTCTGAGCCTACTAATAACCATTTGTTGAGACAAAGCTCAGAGTAGAGAGCTTGTGCTGGAGGTCTGTCTCTGCTTGACAAATGTGACAAACTGAGCTGGTTGACAGTAGCCAGTGCTTCGATACTGTAGACTTTGGCATGAGAGAGGACATGGATATTGAAGCATCAACCCTGCCAGTGGATTTTCAGGATTTTGAAGAAGCATCCTAGTGAAATTTCTCCACAGATTTGAGATGTATGTTGTCCATCTCTCCAACACGGACAGAAGGGCAGATAGCAGAGAGTCAGATATCAGATTCGAGGTTGATGTTGAATTTTGCACTTGTGTCTGCAGACATGACCTTACAGGTGAGGCTGATTTTAGCAGCAGACTCGAATTTCACATTCAACATGTTAAAAATTATAGTAAAATAAAACGTAATTTTAAAAACCCACCATGCTAAAAATATCATATTGCGGCAACGGAGTCAATACCTCATTATTAGCAATGAAGACTATATATGATTTGTTAATACTGGTTGTCTGAATCCATGCTGTGTACTCTCAATAATTTCTACGTAATTGGTATTTTGAACATTTACACACCTAGTGACCCGTGGGTACTTGAGGATTTCTAGAGTTTAAAAATATCTGGCTTCAGGGTACAAATTTTGCTTTGAAGCTGGATTGAATAATAATCAACTTCACTGTATGTACCTTTTTTAGTTGCAGTAATGTTCCTTATTTTTCATACTTTCGCACAGATATTCACGTTCACTTGATGTGCTTTCAGCTAAGCTTACATTTAGAACAAATGTACATTGACCTATCCCCTCAGTTTGTGTAGGCGTTGCGCATGGATATTCATAGTTTCCATTTGATTTTTCTGTTTGCTGAATAGGTGATGGAGATTATAGCAGTGTGCTGCTAGGAACACTGGTGATGCAGGACGTTCAGCTGAGTTTATTCATTGCCGTGATGCCCATGTTAACTCAGGCAGGCAGTAACACATCTAACAGGTAAATGCTTACCAGTTACTGACACAGTTGAATGTTGCTTGGAATGATTTTAATTCTGTTTTATCCTTCAAAAGTGTAGTTACTTTGTAACTGTCAACATTTTCCTTCCAGTTGGTCTCTGAATGTGATAATGCAAAACAGCGTGATTGTTCTAAATTTATTCAATCATGGTATGTGTGCGTTGCTTTCTAGGCTAGAATTTCATTGTTTATCTTTAATTGCACTTGAGAAAGTGGTAATAAACTGCCGCTGTCCATGTGTTGTAGGTACCAATACAGGTAGGAATGGAACTGCAGGATTTTGACTCTGTGACATTGCTGTGTTTCCTTGTCAACAACCATTTTAACAAATGGGTGAATTGATTAAAGTTCATTGTTGTTTTCAAGCAAGGAATGACTGTGTGATACCATTCTTTCCTAGTTTTCGTGCTCTTAAAAGTGTGCAGCATCAAGATTTTGGCACCAGTTCCTTTTGCTTCCACTAAGTTGTCTATACAGTCTCCAGGCCAGCATGCTGAGACTGTCAGGTACCTTGGCTTATTTGTACCTGTCAGCTAACAGACTGTTTGTTTGTTTGTTTGTTTGTTTTCCATTATCTTTGATGCATCATAGAAGTGTTGTTGATATGTGTCACCTCCTGCAAATGTGGCTATGACACTCACCTCAGGCACCTGTGCACTCTGCAGATTTTTTTTAAAGTGAAAAAGAATGCTTTTTGTACAAACTGTGAGGGTTTCTTGTGTTCTTTTTCTTGCTATTCTTGCAACCTAGAGGGAAGGATTACTCCCATCTCTGGTTCAGACAGTTTTCCGGGGCTGCTCAGAGAATGCTGGCCTGCCGGTGATCGAAGAGACTCTCTGCCTTTCTACAGGATCCCTTCCTTCAGAGAGAGGGCCGCTACTTATGCACTGAAGAATGCATTCTATGCTTTATTTCCACATGGGGCAAGGCCCATTGCACAATATATATAAAACAAAGATTAGGGAGCTCCTTTGACATTGGTTTTCTTGATTTGTGTGTTTTTCTGCCCAGAGAGGTTCCTGCAGGTAACATTGACAATTGTATATCCTGAGAATAAATTTTGCACGGGTTGCAGTTATGTGATCAGAAACATTTGATGTTCATGTACAGAGAATGAACTCTAGCATGGTCAGTCTCGCTTGATGACAACTTGGTATTTTGCAGTGCAAGGAATACTCTGTGAAGATATTCCATCAAACAAAGTTGATATTCTAATAGGCAATGAGTAAAATATTAGTTAGAGTTTTTGTGGGATCGATCATCTACAAATACAGGAATTTGGATATTTCTCCACTGTTCATTCTTGCCTGCTTAAATGTGTGTAGGTGGGGCAGCATGGTGGCTCAGTGTTTAATACTGCTGCCTCTCAGTGCCTGGGATCTGGGTTCGATTCCAGCCTCAGGCGACTGTCTATGTGGAGTTTGCACATCTGTCAGTGTCTGTTTGGGTTTCCTCCGGGTGCTCCAGTTTACTCTCTCAGTCCAAAAATGTGCAGGTTAGGTGGATTAGCCTTGTGAAATGCAAGGTTAAGTGGATAGGGTAGGGGGTTGGATCTGTTGGGATGATATTTGGAGGGTCAGTGTAGACTAGATGGGCCAAATGGCTTCCATACTGTAGGATTCAATGAAATACACCATACTCTCCATAGATCAACATTTTGGCAGCATTTCAGCAGCACCAGTATCTGTACACGCTCTTGCATGTGGGTATGTACGTCAAAAGGTAAAGTCTCATTGACACAGCTCTCAGTAAACCAGATAGTGCAGTTGTGGTAAACATGTGGCTCTAGATAGTTAACTCTTATGATAGTTTGTTTATTACTTGAGGTGGATTTGATTTTGGACAGGACTGATTTAATTCAGAGTGATGCAGGAGATTTCATGGCCGTTAAGCCAAATGGGCCATGAGAATGAATGATACCATTGATAGTGGTCTAAACATATTTCACTCTTGAAGCCACAGAAATATAGCTCCCAATGGCAACAGCAAAGAACTCTCAGTAAGGCTCTGAATGAGGTTTTGTAATTGTCTAGGTGGTTTATGGCTGTGTGTCCAGTGGCCATGCCTGCAGTAAATGTGTTGCCTTCTGTGGACCAGTCTCAATATCCCATGTATAAAGTGGACATTGAGCAAATGAGAAAAATGAAAATATTTTAATCCGCTAACAATCATTACCTGAAAGATAAGACCCCAAGCTAATAACTGTGATGTATGTATTAGTGTCATGTATCAGATTATTTGAGAATATATTTTCACAATGTTGCCTTTCTTCTTTTTCTACAGTACAGTTTTAGAAATACTGCGGATTTTCGCTCTTATTGGTCAAATTCTGTTTTCGTTGGTGGCAATTCTTCTGATATCTCTTGTGGTAAAGACTTACCTCATTGGACCATTTTACAGAAAACTACACACAGAGGGTAAAGGAAATAGAGAGAAACTTGTCCTAGGAATTTCAGCATTTATCTTTCTTATGTTAATGGTAATAATATATTTATTTTGAATCAAGCTAAAGCACAGTAGCACTCATATTGGAAAAGGTAGAATTGGTGAAATTTTCATTAAGAGTCATGCAATCTAAATCTTCCATCTAAAGCCAAATGCCTGGAGCTGACCTACAGCTGCATATTCTACTGTTTTCATGTAGTCATGTTTTCACCTTGAACTATATATTTGAGTGATAATTCCCATCCTTCCAAGCACAAACCCTGACCACCACCCTCAATCAATATAGTTCTTCTGCAATATGGCTATGGTCCAATGACGCTGTACCAACTGTCTCACTGGAATCTTATCCCTTGCTTGCAACAGACCTTTCAAAACACTCCTGTTCTTTGCGTCATGTTTGTCCCTCAAAATGAAAAAGGAACACACATTGTGCGAAGGAGACTCTAGGCAAGGGCTCATATGTCAAAGTAGAGGATTAAATATGCTTGCTCTTTAATTAGACCTGTTCTCAGTCTCCTGATCAAAATCACTAGTTGGGACTTCTCCCTCATTTATTTTGTCTATCTTCTCTCTCTCAACTGTCCTTCTGTGTCCCTTTACGCTTTTGTCTCTTAATTTCTCCATTAATTGTTGACGGTCTGTCTCTGTCTCTCTCTCTCTGTCTCTTGTCTATAGTTATGAAGTTCATTATCTCAAGCTGATAGTTATGGGAGAAACACTGTTCTTTTGGTGGCTTTGTCTGGTTACAGCTATTGGACAGAACCCACATTCCAAATGGACGTTGACTAAATGTTTATGTAGTTGCACCCATAGGTGCACTCAGTGTGGACTCTGGGCCCTGTAAAGCCTCTCCTCTCATTTGACATAGCATTACACCATTTAAATACCACTAGAAGAATCAAGGACACAAACTGGATTCTGGGTGGGAAATTTTTAATACATACTGTGTGGATTGGCAATACCTCTAATGGATGAGTTTGAAAGATACTACTGCAGGATAAGCGTCATCAAATTGTGATAAGACCAATGTTGAGCAACTTGTTTGTCATTGCCAGTTAATGTTATGCAGATTTTCTTTTCATGACAGTATTGGCAGAAGTGATCATTTTGAATCTTTGTCAAGACAAAGTTGCATTTTCATAGTGAGAGCTCATGGCAACATGTAGAGGGGCACTACTTCTATGTGATTTGGAGCAGCAGAAGAACAAATCCAGCTACTCCGAACTGCCATTCATGAGGCACTTGGGCCATCATCCACATCAGCATTTTAAACCACCTCAATTTTCAACCTTATTGCATCTTGCATTCCTTGATCCCCTAAGATGCCGGGATGGCATGATAGCCCAGAGGTTAGCACTGCGATCTCTCAGCATCAGGGATCCATGTTTGATTCCAGCCGCAGGCGACTGTCTGTGTGGAGTTTATACGTTATCTCCGTGTCTGTATGGCTTTCCTCCGGGTGCTCTGGTTTTTTGTCTAAAGATGTGCAGTCTAGGCTTCTTGGCCGTGCTAAATTGCCCATAGTATCCAGGGATGTATGGGCTAGGTGGATTAGCCATGGGAAATGCAGGGTTGCAGGGATAGGCTGGTGGGATGCTCTTTGGAGGGTTGGTGTGGGCCCGATGGGCCAAGTGGCCTGCTTCCACACTGCAGGAATTCTATGATTCTGTAAATCTTGGTTTAGTAGGGAGTGTCTATGATCTAGTTAGATTTTTGTTTATTATTAGGATGCAGCTGCAGTTGGCAAGGTTGGTCATGTCCATCTCTAGATGCTCTTGGAAGGTGGAACTGGCTGACTTGCTGGACGACTATGAAGAAAACTGTGTTATAGAATTGAAGTCATTTATAGAATAGTCTGAGTAAGAGCAGTAGGTCTTTTTATTTAGAGGAAATTAATGAACCTGTTTTTGCAATTTTTACAACTTTCAGACAGCTTCATTGTCACTTATTGCTTGCAATTGAAGGGACATTCAGTAATGTCAAGCAGCCATGATGGATTTTGAACTTCTTTTCGGTGGATTAGTACTCCACTATGCATAATATGGCCTAGTGAAGATGTAAGACAGCGAAACCAGAAGGTGGTCTGTCAATCAGCAGCTTAGGTTCTCTCAAGCTGCAGTCGATCCAGCTGAGAATAGTGGAATATTAGGTGACTAACAGGAGGAGGAGTTTTCATAAATATCCCATCCTTAAGAATGTTGGATCCCAGCAGGATTGCAAGAGAAGGCTGGTCTACTTTCAACAAAAGTAGGCCCAAGCCAGGAGTGTAATGGATCCTCAATATCATCTAACGCACAGCAGTTCACTTGATCAGTAGTCCCTATCATTGGACTTAATGAGCACTGCTGGCACAGAGCGGCTGACAAATTAATTGCTGTCTTGTGGCTTCTAGCACCAAGAGTCACCATTAACTCTGAGTTTCCCTCCATGTCACATAAACATCTATCTGTGTTCCATCATTGTTGGATCAGAATCCTGCATTTCTTCACGCATATTTTCCTGAGCACCATTACGTTAAGGACTGCAGTTGTTGAAGGTGAGAATTCACCACCACTTCAAGGGTATAATGGGATGGAAAATTAATACCACCACTATTACTCCAGGAGTGGAGATATAAATGGGCTGCTTCCTTGAGCAAATGGATAACATGCTAGTAATATGACAGTCACTTAGAAAAAAGAGTATTTTCTATAAACTCTTTGTAGTTGATGGTACATTTACTGTAACGTCAATATATTGACAATCTGACAATCTTCAGGGGGTGGAGGTGGGAGGAGGAATATGTTTGCGTTTAAAGCATCCCTTCATTCTGAACTATCAACTTTGCTTCTTCTGGATTCAGAAATCTGACAGTGGATTGGCCTGAGACAAAAAACAAATCCTATTCTGGAGGTGGGTGTGTCTGAGGGTCTGTGTGAGCCCTGATTAGGTGGGCATGTCTGAGGGTCTGTGGGAGTGTCTGAAGGAAGAGAGAGCCTGGATGAGGTGGGAGTGTATGATTGCTGTTTCCTGTAATTGATTAAAATATTGTTGACAAATTAATGCCAAAATGTAAAACCTGACCACGTGAATGAGAACTTGTGTAAAATGTCTGTTTCTTTCCCCTTTCTTCCACAAACACGGATTTTAAAACCTTTACCAAGTTGGAGAAAACCTTGCCAAGTTGTGTGCATATTTTAAATTCCCTCCTGAGGGCAAATATCCTCTCAGTATCCACCCCATCAAGCTCCTTTCAGGATTCTATGTTTCAATAAGATCACCTTTCTTTCTTTCTTTCTAATACCAATGAGTATAGGTGCAACCATTCCTTCCAAGATAAAATTCCCTTATCCCAGGAATCAATCCAGTGAACCTTTACTGAACTGCTTTCAATGCAAGTATACTGTAACCTCATTTGTCTGAATGTTTGGGCTCAAGACTTTTCTGGATTTCAGACTTTCCTAAATTATAGAATAGCAATGGAATACCTAACAATAAAGTGAGAGCAAGATTTAACTATACCCTTCTGATGTAAAGCAGTATCTATCCAAATACTGAATCTTCTGTGTTTCTAAAGTGATGCACTGTACTAAAATACCAACTTGTGTACTCTCAACTTCTGCTATGATAGGATGGGGACTGGAGACACAATCACACAAGATATCCTTCACAACTACTCAGTTCCCAGAGTTTATAGATGAAGTGGCAGTTAAATGTTTATAACTCTCAGGTTCTGCTGGGAAAATTTACCAATGATTGTCTGAGGGACTGTCTGAACACTTGTCACAGTTTTGCCTGTTCCACCTCTCATCATCCGTACCTTAATTTATTGGAAACTTAATTCTTCCAAGCAAGTGGAGATGATTTTTGCCATGTTTGCTCATTGTGACATAAAGAAAGTTACTAGTAAACTTTCTGGGAGTGTTCTACAATTCATAATCTTCCCAGCTGAGCCATACAAATAAAATAAAAATTGCCATACGCTATGTAGAAAATTCTAGTTTTAGTTTGAGAGTGAAATCTGGGAGAGTAGGTAGGTCGTTGCTTACCATTCAAATCTGACTATAGCATAGGAAAATGCAGTCACTGGTGAAGCATTTGTTGCGGTGCTGCTAGTTGTGCTGGAAGCTTTCTGGACAACTAGTGTTTCTGGATTTCAGGAATTCTTGATTTTTGTTTCATGGGGTATTGGTGTTTCTGGCTAGGCCAGCTGTTGTTGCCCATTCCTAATTATCTTTGAAGCAAGTTGCGTTCTGAAACCACTGTAGTCAATGTGGTGTATGTTCTGTTAGGAAGGAATTCCAGGTTTTGACCCAGCGGCAATGAAGGAGCAGTGGTACTGTATCAAGTGAGGGTAGAATATGACTTGGAGACGAATTTGCAGATAGTGCTATTTGTAGGAGATGGTATTCCCATGTATCTGCGGCCCTTCTCCTAAGTGATGGAGGCCACGTGGAAGGCTATCGAAGGATCCTTGGTGAGTTTCTGCACACAGCTTGTATACAGTACATGCTGTTGCCACTGGGCATTGGTGGTTGAGGGAGTGAACATTTAAGGTGATGGATAGATGACCAATTAAGTGGACTGTTTTGTCCTGAATGGTATTGAATTGCTTGAATGGTTATTGGAGTGGCACACGTCCAAGCAGGTTGTAGCCAAAAGAACACGCAGGGTATATCCTTGAATTAGGAGATCAAAAATGTACATGCTACTCTAGGTGTGATCTCATTAGTGCCCTGTATGTCATAAAGAGATTTCTGTATCTTTGTTCTCCATCCTTCTTACAAGAACAGCTAATATTTGATGTACCTTCCTAATTACTTACTGTACCTGTATGCTTCTTGTGTTTCACGTACAAGGACATCCAGCATTGCACGCCTGCTCCTCTTTTAGACTACAGAAATAAATCCCAAGTTTCTCATCATCTGGACTTGGGAATAATTCTCAATTCCTTCATTGTTGCTTATTCAAATTCTTGGAAATCCCTCATTACTAGCATTGAGTGTTCCTACATCACACGAACAGCAGTGGTTCAGAAGGTGGCTCAGTTGGAGTTGGAAAATAAAAGCTGGCATCCCATGGACAAAGGGAAAATAGTGGTCTTGAGGAGACATCATTTGAGAGAGGATGGTGACTGAGTTTTTTTTTGAATAATTAATGCTTTTTAATTTTTGTTGAATTTTAGGTATAATACATACAGGTGAGAAATTATTAAATCTAGATAATGCCTATTTATATGTTAAACTGCGTACACTTTTCAGATTAATGTGTGTCAACAAATTATAAACTTTTCCTTAGTTAATAGCATGCATATACCAGAAACTGATCAGTACTAGAGAGTAACTGTTAATGTCCTTCATGTGTCAGAGTTGTATTTGGTGTTGCATGTTAATAGCCATTCTATCAAGAACTAAGTTAAATGTTTGGCTGAGATTCATTAGAGAAAGTGGTGTCACCTTTAACAGCATAACATGAATAATTATTTAGCATCAACACAAATACTGGGGAATAAATACCTTGAGTGGGAGTTGTTTGCTTGCTTTACATCAATGCAACAATTCCAATTTTACTTTAATTCATCATTCAATGTGCATTTAGTTGATCTGTTGGCAGGGTTCACAGTTTGTTAATTTTGTTTCTTTGTGTTTCCACAGGTAACTGAGATGTTAGATGTCTCCATGGAGCTGGGTTGTTTCTTGGCTGGGGCTTTGATTTCATCACAAGGCCATGCTGCTATGGAGGAAGTTATGTTGTGCATGGAGCCCATACGGGATTTTCTGGCTATCATCTTCTTCACTTCAATTGGTAATTAAAAGTTCTGAGCTGCTGGGGAATTGATTCTTCTACTAATTAGGTTTATACATTATATCTCGGAGATGAAATATATGGGAATTTAATCTAATTTTCCAGTCCTTAGAAAAGTGGATCTAATAAAGACAGCATTTTAGAAATTTATCAGCCAGAGTAACTTCATTGATACAATTATTAATTCCCATTAAGTAAGCTGAACATTGGGACTCACATATCAGGTAAAACTATAAATTAACATGACTACAACATGAGCTGGGTTTACCTTTGCTTACTAAGGTTTCATAAGATTGAATATTTGCTTCGATGGTCGGTGTTTACAGCAAAATAATGTTTTCCCCCCCTCCCCCGAAATCAGTTCACATTTTTTGCTCTTGTAATGTCTGTAATTTTTGTCCATCCCTTGTTGTGTTGAGAAGATGACGTGGGACCGTACCTTGAATGGCTCCATCCCTTATGCCAATAGCATTGCTTAATCGTGTTAGGTCGAGAGTTTCAAGGTAGTAACAGTGAAAGAATGATGATGTACTTTCACGTGAGCATAGCGAGCCCAATGGCACAAACACCAGTTATGTAAAGTGTTTTTGTCATGATTGATTTTGAGTATTTGAGTACTGTTGTGGCTGTATTGAATCCACCCAAGTATTGAGTATGGCATTACCTTCCTATGGACCATGCAAATGTTAGAGCGACTGCAGTGTATCCAAACTTTATCTTGTTCCAATATCACTGGTCACTGATTAAGTGTTTCTGGTGTTGACTCCACCATTAGAAGATTTAAGGAAGGCAACTAGGCTTTCTCTTGTTGGAGATGGTCCTTAACTAGCTCTTAAGAAGTGCAAGTATTAGCTTCCCCCAATCATCATAAAATAGATGCTGTAATAGAATCATAGAGTTTTTCAGCACAGAAACAGACCGTTTGGTCCAATTCGTCCATGCCAACCAGAGATCCTAAATTAATCTGTCCTATTTCCCAGCATTTGGCCTATATTCCTTCAAACCCTTCCTATTATTGTACCCATCTAGATGCCTTTTAAATGTTGTAATTGTACCAGCCTCCATCACTTCCTCTGGCAGTTCTTTCCATATAAACACCACCCTCTGTGTGGAAAAAGTTGCCCCTTGGGTCCCTTTAAAATCTTTCTCCTCTCACCTTAAATCTATGGCCCCTAGTTTTGGACTCCCCTATCTTGGGAGAAAGACCTTGGCTATTTACCCTATCCATGCCCCTCATGATTTTATAAACCTCTACAAGGTTACCCCTCAGCCTCCGATGTTCCAGGGAAAATTGCCCCCGCTCATCCAGCCTTTCCCTAAAGCTCAAATCCTCCAATCCTGGCAAAGTACTTGTAAATCTTTTCTGAATCCTCTCAAGCTTACCTGCATCTTTCCTATAACAGGGAAGCCAGAGTTGAATGCGGTATTCCAAAAGTGGTCTAACCAATGTCCTATACACTGTAACGTGACCTCCCAACTCCTATACACAATGCACTGACCAATAAAGGCAAGCATACCAAATGCCTCCTTCACTACCCTATCTATCTGCAACTCCATTTTCAAGGAACTATGAACCCGCACCTCAAGGTCTCTTTGTTCAGCAACATTCCCCAAGAACCATTAAACGCTGATCTGCCTTACCAATGCAACACCTCACATATAAATTAAACTCCACTCATCGGCCCATCTGTTCAACGTCCCGTTGTAGTCTGAAGTGACCTTTGCTGTCCACTACACCACCAATTTTCACATCATAAACTTGTATTAGCTTTCTCAGAATTGGGAGTGTTCCCCAGCGAACAGTTCTGATTTGTGACAGAGGAAAGGTTATTGTTGAAACAGCTGAAAATAGTATGGTGGAAGGTTCATCCCTGTTGAATCTCTCCAGCAAAGTCTGGCCTGGTGTCAGATCTCCATTTTCCAAATAACCAATTTGACTAGTTAAAAAGGTTATCCCTTGGCCTTCACTGACTTTAGATTTTTTTGGACTTCTTTGTACATGTTGCCTTGGTGTCAAGGCAGCTGCATCCACAAATCCAGCATCATTTAGCCCTCCGTCCATGTCTAAATCAAAACTCTGGTGGGTCAGAAACGGAGTAATTCTTGTGAATCCTAAACTGAATGTTGAGGAGGTGCCATTTGATAGGACCACTAATCATTCTTTCCATCAGTATACAGCTAATGGCAAGAGGCTCATATGTCAATAATTGGCCAGGTTAGATACATTTTTAAAATTGCCCAACCATTTAAACTCAAGTCAAGTTTATGCAATCCACTCCCATAATTTCATTTTGTAAGACTGAGATTGTTGTGGTGAAAAACTGCACTTTTCCCATCCAAGTCCAGTGTAACTCTCCTGGAGTTCACTGTCCAAAACTGAGCACAGTACTCCAGATGGGATCAAAGATTTGCTTACTAAAGCATAACTTCCTTGCTTTTGTGCTCCAACTGTTTAAGTACAGTAAAGCATTGGCTTTTCTTGTATTTTTGAAACTTTTTTCCCTTGTGAACCAGCTTTTAGTAATTTCTGGATAATGATTTATAATTTAAATTAGAATACCCAGCTCAGGTCATGGAGTGAGGAGTGAGATAGTTAACAATCCATGAGTGGTAAGGTGGGTTGCTCACTAAGAACATAGAAGTTGTTAGCTCATATCTATAAGATTAGAGGCAAATGATCCTCAATGATAACAGGAGCCTAATGTGAGCTAACTTTACTACCTGCTGTGTTTTAAGGAATGGTAATTACAATATTGTTCCTTTGCCCTTTACAGGTCTTCATGTTTTCCCAACATTTGTGCTTTATGAACTGACAGTCCTAATGTGCCTTACATTGGCGGTTGTGGTGTCCAAGGTAATGAGTTTCTCGTCAGTCTTGGGGAACGAAAGCGCTAGAGTTCTGAAATGTTGACTGATTTAACTGATTTCTGTTTCTCAGGAGTGGGAATGACCCACTGAGTATATCCAGCTTCTCATTTTGGATCTCTAGTACCCAAGGTATTTTTCTCTCTTTTTTCAAGTTTATTTTTGGGAGTAGATGTCTGAGCATACTGAGGAGAAATAAGGATGAAAATTGCAGAGGCACAGCCATTAATTTTGCAATCTTCCTTAAATATAGGGTTGGTACCAGAGGACTGGAGAATTACACATGTTTATACCCTTGTTCAAAAATTGTGTGTGATCCCAGCAAATGTAGCCCAGTCAGTTTGAGCCTTGGTGGTGGGGAAACTTCTGGGAACAGTGCTTCAGGAAACAATTAATGGACAGTTTCTCGGGCAAATGGAGGTTAATCTTTTTTTTAAAGAAAGCATGGATTTGTTGGACAAAGCTGTTCGGGCCTCTACTCTTTGGAATTTAGAATGAGTGGTCATGTTATTGAAACATAAAATTCAGAGGGAACTCAACAGAGTAGATAGTGAAAGGATGTTTTCCCCCTCATGCAGATCTGGGGGGATTCAGTTTAAAAATGAGCATTCCCATTTAAGATCGAGATGTGGAAGAATTTCCTCTGAGTTGTTGACCTTTGTAATTCTGTCCGACAGCAGCAGAGGCTGGGTCATTGGATATATTCAAGTCTGAGATAGTCCTTTGATCTATAATGGAGTCAAAGGTTATAAGAGAAAACAGAACAATTGAATGTAAGTCACAGTCACAATGGCCATAATCTTTATTGAATGACAGCAGGCTTGAGAGATTAATCGGCCTACTCCAGTTTCTTATGTTTAGTTCACTTGAGATCTGTGATGAGTTAACAGTGTGCAGATGAGGATAATGCTGTTGATGTGGTGTACGTAGGCTTCCAAAAGACATTAATAAAGTACCATATAACATATTTGAGTAAAGTTAAAGCTCATGGAATAATTACAAAAATAAATGTAAAAGAAATTGATTGAATAACAGGAAGCAGAGGAGTGGTCAATGTTCTTTTTCAGACTAGATGAAGGTTTATGGGGCAGATCCACAGATGGTGTTAGGTCTCCTGATTTAGTCGTGACCCATTTTAGAAAGTGCACTAATACTTGAGCTCCACAACTGCTGGGCCGTCACAAAATTTACAAAATCAAGTTACTCAAAGTTCCTGTATGACAGACTCATGTTAGCAGAAAACATTGACAGGGTTTTGGTATTTCCCAGGCACTACTATTTGCTAAAATAAATCATTCTAACCATAAGCAAGCACAAATATGAATTATCAACCTATAACACTACTAACAGAAGCTCTAGTCCCTCTTCACCCTCTATACATACACACGAGTGTTATGGACGGAAGGAAAAGTACTGGGGAAACGCAGTTTGTTAGCATCAGTCCACAGAATTCGATGAGATCCTTTTACTTCTTCCAAGACTTAAATTCTCCAATCATCTTTTATCCAGATTCTTTCAGTTCTTTGCTAAAGACACGTTGTGGTTCACACATTAATTGTCCAGACTTTCAGTCGCTGGTTCGAAGCAACAGCTTGTAGCAAACGGTGGAGAGAGTAGCTAGCTAACTTCCAGATCTTGGTTACTTCACTGCAGAGAGGGAGATACCTTCTCTATTGAAGTCTGGAAGCTGAATGTAAAGCTTGTGTACAGAGTACAGGCTCAAACTGTGCAAATAAAACAAAATCTGGAAGAATGGCAAATTGTGAAGAAGATAGTGAACTTTGAAAGGACATAGGCTGACAGTTTAACTTTAAGGCAGATAAGTGTGAATTGATTAATTATAGTGGGAAGAACATGAAGCGACTATTAAAATAAAGGGTACAATTCTAAAGGGATTACAGGAACAGAGGGACTGGGTGTAAATATGCACATTATTGCAGGCAGTAGTAGTAGGATTGAGAGCATGGTTAAAAAATCATATGGAGACCTGGGCTTTATAAACAGGAGCATTGAATACAAAAACAAGGTGGTTATAGTCTAGTTGTGGTTAACCTGTATGAAACACTGCTTTGATTTCAGCTGTAGCAAAGGAGCCATTTTGGGCAGCACACGTTGAGGAGGATGTGAAAGTATAAGAGACTGCAGAAAAATATTGCTGAGAATGATTCCAGGGATAAGGGCCTTATGCCAATAGATTGGAATAATTGTGAACTTTTGGAGAAGAGACGGTTGAGAGGAGATTTGATAGAAGTTCTTAAGTCCTGGACAGAGTAGATAGGGAGAAAGTTTTCTAATTGGTAGAAGGATTGGGAAACAGAAGACACAGAACTAAGGTAATTGGCAAAAGAGGTAATTGGCAACAGAGGCAATTGCAACATGAGGAGAAAACACCTTCATGCTGCAGCTATTCAAGTGATCTGGAATGCCCTGGATCACTGTGTGGTGGAGGAAGGCACTTGGATCATTACCTGAAGAAAAATTTTCAAGGTTTTGGAGGGAAAAGTAGGGGAATGGGGTTAGGTGAGTTGCGCTTGTAGAGAGGCAATGTGGGTACCAAGGTCTAAATAGCTGCTTGTGTGTAACTGTTCTGTGAAATAAACACAGGAAGTACTGTGAATATTCAGCAAGTCAGACAGCAACTGTAGAGAGAGAAAAAGTTGCATTTATCCAAATGGTTATGATGGCTTCTCATTAACCTGAAACAACAATTGTTTCTCTCCACAGATACTGCCTGGGTTTTTGCAGCAGTTTGTGTTTATTTCAGAATTTCAGTGTTTGCAGTATTTTGTTTTTCAGCCTTATGATCTGAAACTTGATCTTTTATGTGCAAGTGTGGCAATATTTCTGTTTTCTCACATTTTTGAATGGAGCTCACTTCATGTGGGCCCAGACCGCTAACAATCCAGCCTGGATTTGAGCATCAGTCAACCAATGAAGCTAGATGCCACAGTCTTGAGCCCAATTCATCTGCAGTGCCCTGCACAAAGTGTAGACACAAATAGTTGAACGCACTTGTATTTTTACCATTTTTTTATGAAGGTAATTGTATGTAGGAGTCATCTCCTATCAGGATTGCGGGCTGCACATCTAGAAGTTAAATCTATTAGAGAAGAGTACAGGATGGGGTTTGGGGAGAGCATTGAAAGATTCGAGGCTAGAACCTGGGAAGAGGGTTTCAGCAATTGATGAGCTGAAGCAGGTAAAACACCAGCATTATCTTGCAGCCTAACTGCCTGATCAGTGCAGAACATAATACTGCACAAGAGACCATTCAGCCCATCAAGTATATACGCCTCTGAAGGACAATCCAGTTGGTCCTGCTCCTTGCCATATCCCCGCACTGTTCTCATTGTTGGAAACAATGGCTGTATCTGAACTCTGCGGATTTTGAACACCTCTATCGAATTGCCCTTGGCCCCCTCTGTTCCTATGGAGACAATCTGAGTTTCTGTAGTCCAGCCACCTAACTGCTGTCCCATGACCCTTGTACTATTCTAACAAATCTCCTGTACTCTTCCCTAGAATTTGACTTCCATCCTTAAGTGGTGATGCTCCCACTCAGCCACAATACACCAGCTAAGGCTGAACTAACCTTTGATAAACATTCAGTGCGACTTGCTGGCTGTTTGAACTTTGTGCTTCTATCTTTAAAGGTTAGGATTTTTCTGCTTCATGGCCTGTTTTGCCACCTTCAAAGATTTGTGCATGTGCAACCCATGTTTCTCTGGCCTTTCACCATCTTTAAACATTTATGACTTATCTTCATTTGTTACCAAACCAACTGCCAGGTAGGCATTGTTGGCAGATATTAAAATCCTCCTGTGAAAGCAGGATCAAAGTTTGAGTTAAGAATGTGTATTTAGGAACCACCAGGAACTGGAATATGACAACTGCTTATTAAAAAGGGTTTACCAAAGTTTTTAAGAGAACATGTGATTTCTTGGAATAGTTTAAAAGTAAAGTGAGCTGTGATTTGCCTGCTTATTATTGAAAAGTCAAGAAACTGGAAATACAAACAAAGTGTTTGAGAGATGAGCTTTAAATTACTGGACAAATTTGGTTTGGAAATGAGAATAGATAGCCCCTTGAAGACTTTCTGAGCTATTTAAAAATGGTAGGAAATGGTATGTGCTGAAGGTTGCCGAGCAATACTGTTCTGGTTTAAAACAATGAATCGTGGATGCTGGAGATTTGAAATAAAAATAGAATCTGCTGGAGAAACTTGCCAGGTCTGACAGGATCTGTCCCCACAGAAGTTGCCAGACCTGCTGAGTTTTCCAGGAGACCTTATTTAGAAGGATAAAGATTATAGTGTGCAGTAAGCAACTCTCTCTCACTCCTGAAAAATTAAGAAGAAGCCTGGAAACAGAACAAGCTGCACAGATTTCTCTGTCCAGGCGGTAGTACTTCTGGGAACCTATTCAAAGAAAGTGCTCGATATCATTATGTATATCTCAAACTCCTAAAAGCTGATCCTTTATTTTATTCAAAGGCCTAAGACTGACTGATGTTCCCCGAATTGAAATCTGGTCTGAAGATTTTCCATTTACAATGGTCAGCATTTTGACCTCCTCGCAGGAATTTTGGAGAACCCTGAGGAATCGTCCCATTTTTAACCTTTCAGTATATTTCCATTTTATGTTTTTTAAAAAAAAACTCTGCAGAATTGTGTTGTTTTGTTGTGTGAATGTGTTTGCTTGCAATTAAGGAGATAGTTTAGTTTCAGAACATACTTTGTTGTTAATCAGTTTTGCCACCGTTTAAAGAATAAGTTTCCTTCATAATTTAGGTTATTGAAGGAACTTGGTGAGGAAAGCCTCTTTTTTATTTGGGTAACGGTAATAAAGGTCAACAACTTGGCCATTTTAGAAATTGAATCAAGTCCTGTACACTAATGATACAGCACATGGAATAATGTTATGCTTTAATCAGGATATGATTTCAAGCTAGTAATTTGACTGCCAATCCATACACTCCACTTATCCAAGTTACTAAAAAAAGTGTTTTATCCCCTGCACCTATGGAAATTGTAGGGATACAAATTCTGGAAATCTCTGTGCCATGCAATGAATTTCCTGAATGTACACAATTATCAAGAAATGAGAACAATAAAATTAACAACTTTTTCCTCTTGTAGTTTATCCTGGCAGTACTTGTCCTCTCCCTGATCCTACCAAGGAACAGCAAATACATAAGATGGGTTGTTTCTGCTGGGTTAGCGCAAGTCAGTGAGTTTTCCTTTGTTCTGAGTAGTCGGGCTCGTAAGTCGGGAATTGTCTCCAGAGAGGTGAGGAGCTTTGTAATTGCTCAGCATCAGTTAACATTGGAACTTGATGTGTTCCACAATGCATTTCTGCTGTGTTGTACCACAGTATCTAAAATAATTCTGGTTCTTTCCCTGTAACTCTGCAGGTCTACCTCCTCATCCTAAGTGTAACTACCTTAAGCCTTCTACTTGCCCCAGCGTTGTGGAGAGCAGCAATTCTGAAATGTGTTCCTAAGCCGGAAAAGCGGTTGAGCACGTAACAGAAGATGAACCAAGGTGGTTTGCCAGCCACTTGTTTGTTAGGATTTCACACCACGTTGGCCTCTGAAATCTAACACCTCACCTTTTCAATAAGCCATACTGACATATGTACACAACTTGGTTTTCTCTACTAAATAGACTGGTTCTGTTATATTTTACATTATCTCCTGATGCCTTTGCCTTTGACTGAAAACTGGATTTGGAAAGGGATTCATTATTTCTGTTCGAATTTATTACAATAGCAATTCGTATCCATATTCTGGCGTTCAGATGGAGAAACTTGTTTACTGGAGTAAAATGAACATGAAATGCATTGACTGTCTTCAAGATAAGAACTCTCCTGGTAAGCAATGAAGGGATGAAATAAGATGTAGTTTTGATAAGATTGTGATGATTTGAATGTCGGTGGGTGATGTTTCCACTGGGAGATGGCAGTGCTCTGTGCGTCAGGTTAGCTATATATTTCAGACTGGAAAATGGGTTGAGAATAGATAGCTCACTTAGAGATAGTAAGAACTGCCGATGCTGGAATCCGAGATAACACAGTGTGGAGCTGGAGGAACACAGCAGGCCAGGCAGCATCAGAGAAGCAGGAAAGCTGACATTTTGGGTTGGGACCCTTCTGAAGAGGGGTCCCGACCCGAAAAATCAGCTTTCCTGCTCCTCTGATCGTGCCCGGCCCGCTGTGCTCCTCCAGCTCCAGACTGTGTTATCCCTGAGAATAAATAGCTCCTTGAAGACTTTCTGAGCTATTTAAAAAAAAATCTCTGACTGGCTTTCACACTGGCAAGCTGTGCAGCCACTTTTTGAACCATGACATGACCCAGCACATTTTAGTATAAATTTTGTTTTGAAAGCTGCTGGGTTTTTGGTGTTATTCTGTCATAAAGGGATAAATATTACAGCAAATATCACTGACCTGCACTGGATCATTGTCAAACAACTTCTGGATTTTGAAATTCCCATTCTTGTTTTAAGTATTTCCACGGCTTCTCCCCTCCCTATCTCCATAATCTCTTCCAACTCTAAAATGCGCATATACCTCCACTCATCCAATTCTGACCTCTTGCATATCCCTGATTTTTAATAGCTCCACCATTGTGGCAGTGTCTTCAGCTGTCTGGGCCTTTGGCAAAATACCATGGCTCAGATAGGAGCAGGGAAAATCTTGGAGCCTGGTACCTTGGTGAAGTAGGTCGGTGCAGGAAATTGCATGTGCCCTGTGATACTGCCAGTTGTATGTCTGAAAGGCTTATCTGATAAGTTACCTTTATAGGTATATACTCTTTCCAAAATCCTATCCTTTATCAACAGGAACAGGTTCCGGTGTTAGGCTTGTTTGGCACCAGCATCACGCCACGTAACTAATAGATCGTATTGCTGGAAGCTGTTGGGATGCCTCCATTTTAAGGTAGTCCATTGTGTTGTTGTCACTTTCAAGTTGAAAGTGAGGTGTGCGATTTAGGCTGCTCTCTCTGATATTTCCAAAGGAGGCCTTATGTGATTGAAGTGTTCCGAATTCCTTGGCAGATGAGTCATGGTGCTGCTTCAAGCTGCATCTGTTCTCCGCCCAGAAATTATAATAGGATATTGACCAAGGCTTGAAATGAGCAGTTACAAATATAGGAACATCAGTTGGCCATTAAATCCCTCAACTCTGTTCAGCCATCCCTGTGCTTGCTTACCTTGAGACAACACTTCAATTTTAAAACTCTTATTTTGTTTTCAAATCTGCCTTTGGCTTCACCCTATCTTATCCCTAATCTTCTTCCAGCCCTGTGGGAATTGTGTGCTTCCCCCTATTGTGGTCTCTTGCAAAAATTTTCATCTATGTTTACCTGTCTCTTTTTGGCTGTGTCTTCAGTTGTCAGGCTTTAATCTTTGAAATTCCCCTGTAAATCCGTCTGTCTAAACTTCTCCCTGCATTTAAGTCATTCCTTAAAATCTATCTCATTGACTGAGCTTGTAATTCCTTGCCATAGTATCTCCTTACATGGTCCAGTATCAATTCTGTCTGATCAACGCCCTATGAAACCAGTTGGAATGGTTTACTGTGTTAGAAGTACAGTGCAAATTCAAGCTATAAATTAGATTGTGACTGACTAATAGCTTAACTCCAGTAGTATAAACTGGAGACAGGGAAATGGACAACTTTCAAACCCATCTGCTCTATTTATTGTGTGCATTTAACTTAGTGTCTTCAACTAATTTGTTCTCTCTTCCTTCATCTGTCATTTACAAGTATGATGAAAAGCTGTCAGACCAGGACCAATCACAGCTTGCCAATTTAAGTACCATAGTCCTTGCTCTCTGTTCCCTATCTCCTAAAACCGTTCCTAACCAAAGGGATACTTTCCTGCGAGGGCAATGCATGAAAGAATCCATTTTGTAAAGTGGTTTAACCTTGCCTGCCCTGATGTGTCTCTTAAACTTTGTGGCATTATTGTCATGTTTGGTGGGGGAAAAGGCTTTTGGTTAACTGGCATGGAGATGCCAGCTCTTACTTAGTCACCCCCGTTCACCATACCGTGGCACCTACCTCAGACTGTCTTCTCTCTCTGATCATCCCTATCCACTATACCTAGGCATTTAGCTTCACTGTCTTTTCTACTTGGTCAAGGGCATTCATCTTGCCCACCTCACCTACCTTGGACTGCTGTCTCTACCTGGTTATCTCTTTGCTGATACCTGGGAGTCTGCCTTTCTCTTTCAGACAAAATTTAATTGCTCCCTATTGGAACCAGCAATTTCTATCTTTTTTGTAAGAATGTAGACGTGCAGCATCCTATTGATAACCATTCAGACACGTATGATTCTTAGTCTTGAGCCTGGCAGACCAGGATTTGTTGCTCTGGTGATTTTAGTGTTTTATAGAGGATGTCTTTTTTTGTGGGCAGGATAAAGCGTGGTTGAATGGTGAAATGGGTCAACATTAGAACACTCAATCACAGTTGTTTGTTTTTTAGTAAATACAATGTTGCTGTAGCATTGCTAATGGCATTCTCAGACTCTGAAGATGACACATTTCTCACTATTTAAAATACAGCTCGCAACATTAACACTGAAAGAACACCCAACCTTTGCATCTGTTTGTTTCTTAATCAAGACTGTGCTACCATTTGTTATTGTCAGGATCTTGAGTTTGTGTTTACCTTACGGTTGAAAGCTACTGTTTGCCTTGCTTTTTTTTTTGTCATGTCATGAAACTACTTCTCCACCTCCTTCAGGTCAACTGTCACCAGTATCCCAGGTTTCTTTTTGGACAGGGGGAAGGATGGAAAAGCTGTTAGCTGAAGCAATCAGTACTTGTCAGACTTTAGCATCTTGGAATAAGCTCTTTCCTGATTTCAGCTGAATTGCTGAACTATTCAGTTCATTCAACTGGCTTTGATATTAGAGAACAGCTTATTTCTAGTAGTGCCCCAGTTTAAACTCTGTTCTTCAGTATCGCAGTTCTACTCCCATCAGATTGCAGTGTTCCCATTACACGTACTCTTAAAATCAAAAATGGATCTTGTTTTAGCTGGGATGGACTGCCTGTGAGTGAGGTTTAGGCAAATTTAGTCATCTGTTTTTATCGAGAATTGGATCATAATCTGAAGAAGGAAGATTTGCAGGGTTGTTGGGGAAAGGACAGGAGTACAAATACCAGTACAGAGTCAGCGGGTTGAATGGTCACCTCTGCTGTAACCTTCTGTAATTTATTTTGGTTCCGAATTAGGAAACACAGATGTTATGCCATTTCCCAGTGATAACCACCAGTTCTTAATACTGCACTGAAGTTGAAGTTGTTTGCTTAGTACCTCTTTGGTTCTTCTGATTGGTTGCTAAAGCTTTGGCTGAAATCCTGGATACACCATCTATTGAAGTCATGGTGGCCACTTGGTAGAACCCCGAGGAACCTCTGAGCGGTGAATGTTTGCATTTTCATTGTGAAGGTAAATAAAGTAATATAACTTCCTGTCTCGAGCAACTTTCAGCATTGTGGAGCTTTTGTGACCATAGAAACATGATAAAGTTTATAACATCAGTTTTACACTCCACCAGAAGACATTTGTACACAGTCACTTTTTCCTGATGATAGCAGTTCATAGAATAATGTGAAGGCTTCCCCCATTCAATTTGTGTCAGCCAATGAATAATCACATTGCAGTCTATATACTTTTTTTGTGATGGAGCTGTTTTCTTGAAAAGAAATAGAACCACTCCTTCCACCCATGCCAGATTGACTGCAACATGAGATGGGATCCTGCCTAAATTGCTGGAATCCTGTACTCTTCTCCTGAATCACACTTCATGATCCTACATGTTTTTCCAGTTGCTCTTCAGACCAAATACCACTGCCTAAAGCTGGGGTAAGCTGGATCCCCTTCTCAACCTCTATACAGATTGCCAAAGATTGGTGTGCTGTCCACCTCCGGTAAACCCTGCTCACCTCCAGAAATAAAACTGGCATCTCAGTTCGTAATGCTCCCCCAGCCTCGGCACCTAGTTAGGCACAGGGGTACAGTCAGAGAGAAAATGCCCATTCAGCTCTGCCCTGTATATAGTCTCTCCTGAAATTTCTGGACTTACCTTTTGTGGAGAGCGAATGTGTGCAGTGTGGAGGGGATTGAGCCAGAGTGGCAGTGAGAGAGGTCCCCCAGCGCCTGCAGTGGCAGCGAGAGCAGGCAGCTCAGTCTCGCAGCATCTGCGATAACATTGAGCCCATTGCGGAGGAGGTA